TCGAAGTTCTTTTTTTCAAAATATGCAAAAAAAAGTTACAATGCTAAGAACATTATTACTAGGCTTGCAACGAATAGTGTATTCAGCAAAATGCCGAATACCGAATATTCGGCATGCTTCAGAAACCGAATACCGAATATTCGGCAACTATTCGGCAGGTTTTCAGAGCCTAAACTTGCTCACATTAATGTAATTACTATTTGCAATTGTTATATTACTAAAGTATTACATGTATATTAATACTTTATACCTAAGCCTGCAACGACTATTTGGTTACTCTTTCTTATTTGGAAAATTCGACAGCATTCAAACTATTCGGCCGAATACCGAATACTTAAATAACATACGAAATAGGGAAATAAATCAAAAATAGATTATTTATGTATATATAAATGCATTTCCAATTATTTCCTTCATAAACATCTAATATTTTCTTTTATAAACACAATATTATAATAGAGTTTATAATCTCAAAAGTAGATAAAGTTTAAATTATTATATATGTTACGGTAAATGTGCACTCTTGGTGAATGTGCACATTCACCGGTGAATATAAATATAAATATAAATATAAACATGCGAATTAGTATTTCACCCGCACATGCGCGAGTTAAACTCACATTCGCCAAATGAGCCGGTGAATGTGCACATTCACCGAAATATTCACATTTACCGTAACATATATACAAAATACAATAACAAATTCATTTTATCGTGTGGTATTATTGGGCATTATGTAAACTAAAGACTCCCAAATATACAGATCCATTGCAAGCTTTTCATATAGCAAAAAAGATAAAACCACACAATATTTTCGCTGAGCGGCGGCGGCTCCTTTGATAAGTTACTATTCGATATTCGGCCGAATATCAAAAAAGGCGCCGAATACCGAATAGTAACCGAATATTCGGTGTTAGCCTAATTATTACTTATTCGAGTGTACCCAAATATAAAAAAGCTTCCAGAAAAATGCATTATCTTCAGTCATATGATCAATTAATGAAGAGATAAACGAAATGTGAAGCGATGAAATAATTATTAATGACATAATGCAATATCATATAACGAAAACAAAACTCATGTCAGATAATGCATGTTATATCTTAACATACGAAGAACTTATATTGCTCATATGATATTAAGTTTCATGGGAGAAAATATTCAATCAACTGATAAAAGAAGAGTGAGAAAATCTGCGATTACCCCTTTCGTTTATCTTTTATAGCATTCAGTGTAATGTAGGTGGATTTTAAGCGTAGTAAGTTTTTCCCATTAATTTTATATTTAAATACCCAATAGGCATTCATTTGGCAAATACACACAATGTATTGACTTATACCACGGGAACATGTGCGCGGGCCTCAATGAACAATGGATTTTTTTATGTAGGGTTACGGGACAAGCAGACATTGCTCTGTGCCCTACAAGTCACGTACACACAGTCCACGACGAGAGAAAATTGAATGAACGATTCAAGCTAAAGATTTAAATAACAAATATTTAAATAAAAAGGTAAAATCTAAAGATAGTGTTATAGAAAATCATAATGCAGTGGTTCACTTAATTATTAATCACTTTTTAATTTTTTATGGCAGACAAGACTTATCGCAACTTCTTGGAATGTTTTGTAAAATGATATATATTGAAAAAGATATGATTATTCACCATGGGAAAGAAACGATCAAATTTCCTGAGTATTGTTTATTTAAAAAGCAATATGCTTATAACTAATATAATAATAATAATAATAATATAACGTCAATTTTTAGTTCTAATAAGCCGGGATGCTAAATAATTTAAATATTATTTCAAAACTAGTAGTGTATGGCATCGTGCATTAAGGCAAATTGCTGGAACTTCCCGTACCGTAACGAAATGTTCGAGAAATGGCAAATGTTTTCATATAGATTATTATAAATGCCGTAACACTGTCTAATATTTATAAGAGTTATATATAAACTGAATGACAAAGTTAAAATTATTTATTTGAAGTATGTAAGTAAACCTTAGGAATTTAACCATAATTAAAATTATAATCTCAATTATTTTCGATGTTAAAAAATTTGAAAAAATAAATTTTGAAATATTTTTTTACAAAAGCAATTATTTTGTCAAAACAAGCTGAAAGTTTTTTGAATCACTCAAATCGGATGCTTAGTTCTCTCAAAAACTGCCATTTTTTGCACATTTAGCTCGGTACCTCCGAGACGGCTGGACCTGCTTTTGCCAAAATCTAATCACCACTTCTTCCCATTATTACAAATGTTTTTTTTTTTTTTTTTTTTTAGATCATGCAGATCGGATGTTCCGTTCTCTCAAAAACTCGATTTCTATTTTCTGCACTCTTTGCTCTGTATCCCCGAAACGGGTGGACCTGCCTTTGCCAAAAACTAATCAGAACATCTCCCTATCAACAGGAATCGAATGGTTTTTGAACCATTCAAATCGGTTGATCCGTGCGCCCGAAAACGTGGACGAAAAATTGTATACATACATACATACAAATCCATTTTTTCTGAAGTATGCCAAAACGTTCAGAAACCTTCAAAACGTGAAGAAATGTAAAAAATTTTTTGACGATTACAATAACTTACCCTACGGGAAGTTAATAACAAATACTATCTATTTAAGGATACAATAAAAAACAGTTCTTTGCAAGTGAATCATTTGTTTTAACTAGAATTGCGGACTTTCAGTAAGTACTTATTATTCTAATTAGTCGATTATATGTATATTTGATGGATAGGTGGAAATCTGGGAATATCCAGGGCAAACCAGGATAGTTATCGACTATCACCAGGCACCAAAAGGAGGCAGTATTTATTGTAATTGAATGTTTTGTGTTATATCAAATGTAAATAAGAATATAAATATTCTTTTTTAGTGCTACTTGCATATTTGTGTAATAATAGTCATATAATTTCATATACTGAGAAATTCTTATTTAATTCGAAACCTTATGAAGAATTTGATCAACAAAATTATATTAACTAAGGATAAACGTATAAAAAACCTCACGTGTTTGTTAACGATTTGTGAATAAAAGATATTTGGCAAGTGTACTGTTCTAAAATTACAATTTTATCAGTTATAGTTATTGTTTTGTTAACAGAAATAATTTGTTTTGCTTTGATAAGTTCATTGTTACAAAACTACGATTTTATTGAATTACAATATCACATATACCAAAATGTGCAGTGCTGTGAATTCAAACAAATTGATATTGAGAATGAACGTTTCGCCAACTACAATTCAAACATTCATAATAGATAATTTATATATAATTATATGCATAATATATAATTTCTGATACTTTTATTATTCTCACATTCAAATAAAATATAATCTAAAAGACAAATTGGCAACATTTATACATGTTATGTGATTAACAACAAGAAACCGATAGACAAAACATACAATTAGTTTGTTCTTGATAGAAAAGCTGACTATGGAACGCAATAAGATCCGAAACGTCGCAAACAAACGTTTCTTATTTTAAATTCACTCTTTAGAAAGCAAACATAAACAAATCAAAACGTTTACTGGGGCATAAAATAGAATAAGAAGGACATAAATTAAAATATCATTAAAAGGTGAATTCTTTAACACAAATTTGCATCCTGGACTTACGAAAAATTAATAATGAAATCTTCTATGAAAACTTTTGGTTCAAAATAGAAACTAATTAAAAAATTGATATTATATAATATGCAATGCAATGTTTTTATCCACATTGTTTTTGATTGAAGAATGTTGTACTAATAACAATTCAACTGTTATTAGAACACATTTTTAACATTTACCATCCACGTACACATACACACAGATATTATATATATATATATATATATATATATATATATATAATAAAAAATGAAGAGAAGAGAAACTATAATCAACTAAAAACATGTATGACCAGGCAGCTGACACAGCACGAAGGCGCGAGGTTACGATAGATACAAAGATTTACCTCCTACTACACAAACTTACATCATGTAAACATAGAACACGAAGTAAAATTTCAGACTTCTACACTCAATGGGATATTAATAATAATTCAACTGTTCATAGAATATATAATATAGCTTGTTTTTGATACACAAGACACATAGAGAGCTGACAGTAATCATAGTTTCAAGAATTTTTTGTTATGCATGGAAATAGCCATTAAGAAATATAGTCCCGCGCGCGGCTCGAGACCCACAAAGAAAATATTAACAGACAGCTATAACTAACTTAGCTTTAACAAGCAATTTATATGAAATATTTTTATATATCCATTATCCCTTACCGATCCTCTGCCCGAGGTTAGTGGCCAGTGATAAACAACGGGTTCGGCCCCCGCGGGCGAGTGTAGACGTAATTCCATTACAGAAAACACAAACACAATCCACTAGATACACTGATCACTTAAAATGCATAGAAATATTTGAAAAACAACACTAATCAATTGGCTAATTTTCACATTTTCCATCACTAACTCACGCACCCTATGCCACAACGCGCCATGACTTCTCGATTGAGTCGAGTAGTTATTTTTTCAAGATGGCTGCGGCCAATGCACTTGTGCACGGAATCGACAATAGCGCACCCAGCGCAATGCTTCGCAATTAGAATAGAGAGAGGGTCGCTCGATCAATTGTTAGATACATTTTGTAAATAAACATTACGCCCACTCGTTATTCATTATCGTATAATTAGTGCCATAAATAGTTAGTTAATTCTACAATTTTAAAATAAAATAGGTTTTCTATAAATTACGTCTATTGTATGATTTTTGATGATCTGTTCAAGAAAACCCTAGCTATGCCATTGATTTTGTTGTACCAAACAAATCCATTGCAATAAAAGTGCTGGTTTATTTGTTTAAACTAGTATGTAGTAAATACTTTTGTTAGGTTTATGATAAATGACTTTCACAATGATAAGTGAGTCCAATGCTAGATTAAAGTGAGTCCAATGCTAAACAAAACACAGAAAATAATATACAAATGGTCTTATATTCTCTTTCGAATTATATAAACTCGTACTCATACTTATATTTAGTGTGCGATTCAATTGCTAATATGCAATATTGCACATTATCATAGTTGCATATTATGAAGTTCATGATCTTTTAAACACTGAATGTTCATAATGTTTTATGAATTTTTTATCCATGTTTGTTTTGGACATTATCATGGTACAAATTAATTCAATTTCATTTTCTTAATTTTTGATGCTTTCGTATTCTTTTTCCTTTTTAATTTTCCTTTCTTCTCCATCTTGCTTACAATAACATTAGTCTGTTCCTCTTTCTATTTAAAATAAAAGTATTATGAAATAAGCATAAATGTTTCGCAAATATTTAAAAGTTCAGTAATTTTATATGTATGAAAAACAATATTTCACCTGAAGAGTTGTCTTCAGACTTTCTAGAGCATTGCGATATTTTTCCATATTATTTTCTAAAGCTTCAGAACTTATCTCTATTTCTGGTAATGCATTTTTTCCACTGCTCTTTATCATTGCCTTTAAAATATTTATTAATTATATTACACATTCATTTATTATTATACCCTTTTGTGTGTACGTGTTTTAAAAATTTATTGTACCTGAAATTGTGTTGAAAACGATTTTTCAATAAAAGTAACAGCTTCACCACATTTACCAGCTCGGCCAGTTCGGCCTACACGATGTATATAATTTTTAATGTGGTGTGGGGCATCATATGAAAGAACGACATCAACATTGTCAATATCCATTCCTCTAGCTAAAGCATCTGTTGATATTAATCTTCAAAGAAAAAAAGGTAAATTAATACATCTCATTTAAAGTTTTAACTTCGACAAATTTTTTGTAGGTGCACATGTGAAACTTTAATTAAAATTTTTACTCAGATAAAATAAAAATAGAATATTTTATTTAAAATCAACTCAATTATTGAAAATATTATATATTCCATATATTTTAATTTCAATTTTTCAAACTTACATATTAATTTCTCCTTTTGCAAACTTCTGCAATGTGTCTTCTCTTGTTTTAAAATCAAGAGCTGCTGATAACTCAGAAATTTTCATATCTGGTGCCATATGATGCAATAAAAGTGATAATCTAAAAAAAAGAATGAAAGAAATGAATATTTGAACTTTCTTTAGCAATATATAAATGTAGTTTATCAATGTCATGTACTTTCTTTAATTAAAAAATTAAATAATTGTCAATCAAGATTCTTGTTAATATCGAAACAAAGTGCATAGACCTATTACTTGATATAGTAATATATCAAGATATATTACTTAGACTTGCCATAGATATATTACTTGACTTGCCTCCTCTATTGCAAATTAAATATTTCCATACCTATGTGCTGCTTTAGATGAATTAGTGAAACAAAGCACCTGCTTCCAGGACTTTTCTTTAATAAGTGTTAACATCGCCAATGGTTTTATAGATATATTAGTAATGCAATAATATTCTTTTAATTCCTCTGGTGTTGTGTATTTTCCAATGAAATCTCCTCGTTTGATGCTTTTGCCTTGTAATTAAACAAATTATTTTAAAATAAAATATATACTAACAATATATTTAGTTATGTTAAATATTGTGGAACATTAACTCTAAAAATTACCTTGTAATTGCACATTGTCAAGAGATTTAGAAACTGTAGTGAATAACCTTGGCTGAAATAAACCAATTTTTTGCAACTTCTCAGGATCCTGTGATAATGTTGCTGAGAACAACAATTTTTGCGGTTGTTCAGAAATATCCTTCAAAGTTTTCAATGATAATGTTGTGGACCGAACGGTTTGATTAAATTCTAAATAGAGTAATTATTCATTATAGACTTGTGAAAGGACAAACCAAATAAAACAGTAAATATTACCATTCCTCAAGTGATTATCAACATGTAGTAACCAATCATTCTGTGTTTGCTCCATTGTTTTATCAGCTTCGTCCAAAACCAAATATCGCAAACCTTTCAAAGTAAATCCAGGAGTTGAATGTAAATGTTCAACAAGCCGACCAGCTGTACAAACTAGTATATCACAATTGCTTAAATATTCTCCAGTGCAAGCTAAAATATTTGATTTTTTAAATACTTTAATGGATATAAAAATGTGTTCCTATATTATATTAGTAGCAAAAAATTGCACTATAGGTCAATTTCAAACATATTGTAAATGTTTTCAACTATTATTACTACTATATTATAAACAAAATACTAACATTTTTTAACTAAAAAACTTTGTTCTCGAACAAGTGTTTTTTGAGCTGCTAAGAGGGTCACCTTTAAATCAGTTCCAATTATCATACTTTGAAATACTTTGTATACTTGAACAGCTAATTCGTGCACAGGCAAAACTACTAAAGCACGTACTTTACGAACTCTTCTTGTTAACAAACCCTAAAAATTAGATAATTTACCTTATGTTTTTAAATATTCATAGAACAAGTAAAAGCAATACAATAATTGCTCATCTTATTTTAATTACATTATCACATTCAAATAATAAATTTTCAATTTATATTGGAATAAAATATTGCAGTCATATAAAAATTTTACCTGAACAATAGGTATAACAAACGCAAGAGTTTTACCACTTCCTGTTGGGGCAGAAACACAAACATCAGATTGTCGTAAAGGTTCAGGAACATTTATGCCTTGTAAAAGCCAAGGTATTAGCTACAAACAAACAAAAATAATAGAAAATAATAAACTTTATGAAATGTGAGAAATAATATATTATACTTACTGTCGTTTGCACTGGGAAAAAATGATCAATTTTCAAAGCTTTTAAATTATTTTTTATAGTTTCGTTCAACATATCAATAGTATCAATACTGGTTGTATTATTTTTTAAATCTGATGACATTACTGTTGGATTGGCCAACCAATATGGAAGAACCCTTTTTACCTGCAAAAAAAATATACAAAATACAATACTTAATATAAAAATTACTGTTTAAAGATTGCAAAAATAGTAATAATACCTTTAATTTTTTCTGAAAGTTCTCATTTCCCAAGATAGTAAATCCTGTATCTTCAAAATTTTTATCTTTAGCAGCATCTTGTGCATTTACCGTTTTCTCATTTTCAGCATCATCTATCGTGCCAAGTTTTTCTGCAATTTCATCTGCTGGCGTAGATTGATTATCCAATACAACATTATCTATTTTTTGTTCACTTGTTAATTCCTTTTTAACCACATCAATATTTAGAATTTCCTCTTCTATAGCCTGTTTCGGTTCATTTAGTCTAGCTTGTTCTTTTTTAATAATTTTTTTTTGCAGTCTTTTTAAAATAGAGATTTCATTCTTTTTATCTGAATCATTATGGAAAATATTTTCTCCCTTTTCCTCATCATATCTAAAAAGTTTATTATTTTTTAATATTGCTAGTTTCAAATATAGAATATAAAACAAATAAAACAGTACCTGTTAATTACAAATAAATCCATGTTATTTATTTATAAGAAATAAATGACATTTAACCTAAATATTGAACACATTGACTTTTATTTGCTTGACAGTTACCACGTGCTTCTTGATGGTTCCAGTTTTCTACTATAGTTGTCGCCATAAAAGTGTTTCTGATTTATTATTTTACGAAATTTCGATAACATAAATTAAAATAAATTATAGTTCACCTAAAGCAAGCATAAAAAATCTGAGTTTCAATAGTCAAAATATTAGCAGAAAACTTTAAAAAAAATTTAAATCGTTCTTAAACGATATATATAACCCGTACCAACCGTGTACCAACTACTAAAGATTAAAAAAAAGGTGTGAGTGGCAATCTTGCGAACATCTTGCAAACTTCATTTTCTTCAAAAGCGCCACCGGATGCCAGATGTCAAAATAGTTACCAGCTGTCAAATTTGACAATTGCTATCGACGTCAAACGTCAAACGCCTACAATAATTGTAAAAATGTTTAAATTGTTAAGAATTATATGTTGTAGGATTGTTCTAAAATTTGAATGCATAAAAATAAAAAATATGTTATTATTGAGCTTACAATAATTGTAAATATATTAGATGCTCAATAAATTCAAAAGTGATGGTCAAGGGACACTCATTGATCATCGTATCTCTTGTGATAGGATTAGTTGCGATAATTTACACATGTTATAATAAGACTAAAAAATCAAACTATGAACTTGCATATAGTTATTTTCCGCAAGGATATTATTTAGGTGCAGGTGAAGAGTCCTATGCTTTAATCAACCAAAATTCTATTGACAATGAAGAAGCTAATAAAGGTGTATTTGATAGGAAATATCTTTCAAGAAAAGCATTTAATTTAGATGTTATATTACATTCATATTTTATACTTTGTAATAGTTTCTGAAATTGAAGCTTTGTCATCACTGAAGGCAGCAATGGATTTAAAAGTGCAAGGAAGACTGGATAGAGCACTTAAATTATTTGAGCATGCTGCAGCCTTGGCACCAAAGCATCCAGATGTTTTAACAAAATATGGAGAATTTTTGGAAGAAACAAAAAAAGATATTGTTAAAGCAGACCAACTATATTTTCAAGTAGAGCATACTTCTAATTACATTTTTTTATTGTAAATATATAAAAACATAAGTTTTTATAATAGGCCCTCACATATTGTCCCACCCACACTGATGCAGTTTCAAACCGGCAAAGAACATCTACAATAGTAGCAAATATAGATAATACTCGTCTTGAGAGTATTGATAGAAAAAGAGACGCTTTAGCTGCTATACCTGAATCTAATGGATCATTAAGAAGGGCAAAGAAGGAAGCATATTTTAGTGTTAGTAGTTTTAAATAAAAATAACTGAGTTATATCATTAGTAAAAAGTATATTGAAATTTCAGTACATTTACCACACAGTTGCTATTGAAGGTAATACTATGACATTACAACAGACTCGTTCTGTTCTTGAAACAAGAATGGCAGTCATGGGAAAAAGTATAGACGAACACAATGAGATATTGGGTTTAGATTCTGCCATGAAGTATATAAATTCAAGTATACTAAATAGGTAATAAATATTTATTACAATTATGACAACAAAAACAAATATTCAACTTATATTTATAAATTTCAGAATGGGCGAAATTACTATCAATGACATTCTGGAAATACATCGACGTGTACTTGGTCATGTAGATCCAGTGGAGGGTGGATCTATGCGTAGAACACAGGTTTATGTAGGAGGCCACGTACCTCCTTCACCTAGTGATTTAACAGTACTAATGTCAAGATTTGAAAGATGGTTAAATTCTCAACGGGAGTCTGAATCTGTGCATCCTGTCAGGTAAAAACTAGCTATACAAGTGATTAAAAACCAAAACATTACCTGTTTATTATTTAATAATAGGCTTGCAGCTCTTGCTCACTACAAACTAGTTCACATACATCCATTCACTGATGGAAATGGTCGTACCTCACGATTGCTGATGAATGTAATTCTGATGCAAGCTGGTTATCCACCTGTTATTATATTGAAACAGCACAGGTAATTATAATTCATTAAATTATTTATATTTATTCAAATTTATTGAATATTAAGAAAATATTTTGTATGAAGTCATTATAATATGATGATTAAAAAGTATTATAAAGTTTGAGACATTAAATGGGATTGTATGGTAGACCAAGATGATATACATTTACAATATTATTCAATTTACAAAGTTTCATTTCAATATTCATTATTAATTATTTTATGTTATAAATTATATAATAAGTCTCAATGTTATATATAATAAGACCCAACTTCGTTTGAATGACCTTTATAAATAAAATTATTATTAACTGTTTATTATTACTTACTGTTTTCATAACTTATAGGCACTTATACTATGAAACGTTGCGCATAGCCAATGAAGGCGACGTCAGACCTTTTGTCCGATTTATTGCTGAATGCACTGAAAATACATTGGATTATTCTTGTGGGCTACTAGCGAATTTTCTAATAAAATCCCAGCTTTAGCACAAGAGTTTTCCAGCACAACCGATTCTTTAGAGTTACATGAAGGGAGTGCAGATTTTTATGAAGAAACTAATGGAAACAGTTGACGATAAATAAAAAATATTAGATCAATTATTAAGGAAATATTTTGATTGTGATTTTATGTAAATATTTATTTATGTTAGATTTTATTTATTTACTTTTATAATGTGATGTTACCATGTCAAAGCAAATAAAGTATTTTTAATTACAAATACAATAGTTTTCATAATTAACTTTCCGTAGGGTAAAAAAAATTGAAAATGAAAATTTTTATATATCTTTACGTTTCAAAGCTTTCTGAATATTTTGGCATACCTTAGAAAAAATGGATGTATGTGTCGACAAATTTTCGCCGACGATTTCGGGAACACCAAACAACCGATTTGAATATTTCAAAAAACGTTCGATTCGTATTGATAAGGAGACTTGCTGTTTAGTTTTTGGCGAAGGCAGGTCTAGCCGTTCCGAAGACACGGGGCAAAAAGTGCCAAAAACGGTAACTCAGTTTTTAAGAGAACGGAGCGTCCGATTTTAATAATTCAAAAACATTTTACTTGTATTGACAAGATGAAGAACTGATTAAATTTTTGGGTAGGCAAGTGAAATAAATAAACTCAATAAAATTAAGTTAAAAAAATGTCATTTGGCGGTGAAAAATGTTTATTGGGCATATGTACATCAAATTATCAGATATTTTATAGAGATTTCAATAATGTGTACACCTTTTGTGTAATTTTTTTGGGTTCCGTACCAAGATTTTTAATTACGGTATGGGAAGTTCCAGCAATTTGCCTTAAGGCACGATGCCATACACAACTAGTTTATTATATTACATTCGCGTTAATCTTGATCAAATAAATCTTACAGTTATTGTACGAACACAAAACAACTGAAAATTATATTTGTGATTTATACACAAAATTTGGAAAATCTTGAGATTCCAAATTCTTTTTAAGTATAATTATAATTAATCTTAATTGATTATCAGAAGATTAATTATCATCATCACAAATCATAATTAATAAATTATCATTAATCCAAGATTATAATCTTGAAGAATTTGATCAACTTCTGAAAACATTTAAAATTGAATTTTTTTAAAAATACTCTAAAATAGTGAAAATGTTTAAAATCGAATTGTTAAAAAAATATACAAATTATCCAAAGTTACAATATTTTAAGTTTCTGAAAAAAAGTTTGTAAAGTTTTTATATTTTTGAAAGTTTTGATCACTCTTCTTTTATCTATGGTTTTGATGTGATAAAACAAAATTTAAAACAATCGCCATCTAGTTTATCATTCCTTAATTATGATTCAAATATTAACATATTTTAACATTCTTTGGTTTGACGTTATAATCTTTTATCTCAAATTTTTGTTAAATTTTTTATCACGTATTTTTTTATGCAAATAGTAATATTTTATATGTTTTGTAAAGCATTCGATTTGTGCGATTCAGGGTGTATTTCGTACCTAATTTCGATATGCAATATTAGGAGGATTTAGTCAGATAGTGAAAAACCTTTGTTAACCTATGTTATAAGTGCGTTACCGTTGCAATTATGCGTTGGAATCTGTACGCATTTGTACATTTGCTTTTATTATTAGGTAACTTGAGCTTTTTTATTACTAAGTACTTATCTTAAATATCAATAATACCAAAAAATTATGATAACAAACCAATTTTTGTTATCTTTATAATTTTTGCCAAAAATCTCAATAGCATCATATTTGTGCAATTATCAACTGTATAGGACAAAAAAAATGTTTTTTAAGAATTTAGCCTGGACAACAGGCTCTTCTACAAGCATTTATAAGATTTTTCTTCACTTTATTCTAATATTCATTATTCATTTAGGGTGTTCGAAAAATGAGGAGCCGCGCGAAGAGAAGACATGCCAAGGTCTGGACGTTAGCGATCCGGCTGATGGATATGCTTCTGGCGCATATAAATGGATTAAAAAATTAACTAAAAGGTAAAAGGATAACTATAGTAATGCATGGCATCGTGCCTTAAGGCAAATTGCTAGAACTTTCCGTACCGTAATTAAAAACTCGAAGAATGAAAATAATCAATAATTGTTTTGAATAATTTCAAATA